TAAAGAAAATTCTAACTCAATAATTGAAGCATCTATATCTACATCTGCAATATCAAATCTAATAACAACAACAGCAGCAACAACTGTAGTAGCAACCACATCAACAACAATACCTATAACAACATTTGTAACAACACCTATATTAATATTAGCAATACCACCTATAGCAACAACTATAACAACACTTCCAACAATATCTACAACACCTGCAACAATATTAACAACAGCTTCTATAATATCACAAACAACAACACTATCTCCAGCAAGCTTAGAATTAGTATCAGCATTAGTATCAGGTGGATCACAATTATTTATTTCAACTACATTATCAACAGCATTTACTGAATCAACAACCTTGGAATCAACATCATCAGATTTACAATGACAAGAATATTTTCGATTAAAACAACAAGAATATCATCAAAATTTAACAGCATATCAACAAAACCAAATAAGAAAAACCAATAAAATACAGCACAGAATTTATAGAACAACAAATTCAATACAACAAGCAAATATATATAAAAATATTGCAAGATATAGTTTAGATAATTTTAATTTTGAATTAGATGATAGCTTTGATCTTTCTATTTAGCAACATAAGCTTAGTAATTTGGATATTAGATGTAATTATTGTCAAGCCTTAAAGTGAAAAAATGAATCACCAGGATTTTGCTGCCTTAATGGTAAAATTAAATTAGCATTACTTGAACTACCTCCACTGGTTATATCACAGTTATTAACTAGATTTGATATTACTACTGGTGAGAGATATGTTCAAAATATAAGGTTCAATAATTCTGCTTTTGCTTTTATATCTTTTGGCATAACTACAGATCGTAGCATATTTGAAGTAGACAAACCTTATATTTTTAGAATTCAAAGAGCTTTATATCATAATATAGGTTCTTTAATATTACCAAGTGGGCAGCCTAAATTTGTACAAATTTATTTCTATGATGGTAATTTTGATACCCAGTTTGCATTAAGGAATGAAGCATCCCCAAATTTAAATTTGGATATGATGAGATCTTTGCAAGCTGAACTTGATTATATTAATCCTTTTGTTTAAATATTTCAAAGTGCTAGATGGCAGGCTACAAGAAATCCTGCTTTAAAATTAAAAATTTTTAATGTATCTTCTCAAGATATGAGAAATTATAATTTACCAGTTGCTTCTGAAATTGCTGCTATAATTACTGATGATGATACAATTGATTCTGGTAGAGATATTATTCTTACTACACAACAGAGTTTTTTGTGACACATCTCAGAATTACATAGTGCTTATGATCTTTTACAGTATCCACTTCTTTTTCCAAGAGGAGAGTATAGATAGCATACTGGAATTATGCATTCAACTGTAACTGATCAGAGTTCTAATGCTAATAATAATTTAAATTTTAATTATAATCAATTAAATATTTTACCATTAGATCCTACTGATTTCTAACAACAACGAAAACATGTAACAATTAGAGAATTTGCATGTATAGGTTACAAATAGGAGATCCTAATAACATTTTACATCTTGCTAGTCACTTATTTCAGCAATATATCATTGATCAGTATGCAAAATAGGAACAAAATTATTTAAGATAGTTTAAAAATAATCAACCTCAATTACGGGTTGAATATTATAAAGAATTGGAAGATATCATTAATAATGATGAAGCTAATCCTCTTGAAATTGGGAAAAAAA